CCGCGAACGTCCGCCGGGGCTCGGGTGTGAGTGCGAAGAGCTCAGTCAATATATACTGAAGCTTCAGGATTTATGGTCATTCACGAGCAAGCCTTTTGTCTCTATCTCGTGACTGCTAAGCTTGTCGGACAAACGGCACAATTCGAAAGCCAGGTCGGTCGATGGATGCACTCTGTTGCTTGTTGTTGTTTACACAGAAATGCAATTATTATTATTCTGTCCAAGTTGCACGTCTTCAACGAACATTCATAGAAACCACGGTTGATGTTGCTGTGATGTATCTGTACTATCTTATGTACAATCGATGCTCGTTTCACACTTGGGGCGAATTGCTGGACACACGAAGAATTGCATCTCTCGCCCTCTCTCTCCTCTCGTAAGCTAGACTATGTCCGCGTTGTTTTTGCTGGTTGTTCTTACTTAATTCTGAGGATGTCATACTTGCTGGCGCTTTGGTACCTTGAATGAATTGCAAGAATGCCTTTGACTCGAAATTCTACTTCTGAAATTACGACCGGCCCGGGCTTCTTCAACACCACATCTTCTGGCCGACCAGGCGTAAAAAGGTGAAACTGCTACTGTTTCCTACTTACTCCGAAGCCATGGCGTTCGATTGCCGTGGCTCAATTCTGGCTCCTCAGGTCGGAAGATCAGTCTAGACTCAAGAGGGTCCATTCTAGATCCTCTAGATCCTCTGGGTCCTCTTGCTCCGGTGTAGGAGCGTTTTGAACTTTATTGGCTGGCCGCGTCTCTGAGTGTTTGAAAGGGCCAGACTGCGTCTGGTCTTGCGACGCCTTGAAGGCCATCTCAGCCTGCGAGCAATCTGGGGTCTGATGTAGGACTTCCTCATCTTGCACCTCTTGCTCGAGTGAAGCGACGAAGCCGATCCCAGTCTCAGTATGCAAACCATATGGGCTTTGTCTCACGCTGTCATTGTCTTGCACCTGTTGCTCCGAAACTGCTGTGTCCTCCGCGTCGGCGTCTTGCACGTCTTGCAACACCCAGCCGTTGGAATCCGACCAAAGCTCCATGACGCCCAGGTATCTTACGACGCGGCCGTGGTGGTCCCTGAAGCCTTGATTTCGCAAACGAGTCGTGACTGCAGAAATGGTAGATATGTTGCATTAATTATTTGAGTGGCACAGGAAAAATTAATGAACAATTGCATGACTGATCATGAGTGGCATCCAGTGTCATCTTGCACCAAGGCTACACTGTGTCGCTTTTGCACAGAGGAGCAGCAAGCAAAGTCTTGCAAGTAGATGACGCTGCCAGTCCTAGTCGTGGACCAAGTGCCTTGTCGACCATACGCCGTGTTCCCATTGCCTTAATGTGCATGGTGTTACTTAGTTAGCATTGCGCTTCAGCTAAGGTGGAGACTGAGACCATGGTACCGATGATCATTAACTACTAAAGCTAGCAACCAACGACTGGACCACGCTCTGAGACTCGACTAAGACGCCACGATAGGGCATGCAAGCTGCGGGTCTTGCGGCGAAACCCCACCTCATAGTTGCTGAACAAGTAAAGGACCTCGTTTCTCTTGCAGTGCTCCCAGCTGTACATCGCAACCCGCACTTGGCAGGTCATGGATGGCACCAAGGAAGGGGTCCGGCAGGCAGAGTGCTGGCTGAGCTTGGGAAACAGCAGCTGCAAGCAGGAACCCGATTTCAGCAACCTCTAGAACTCATTTCCAAGTCTGGGCTGTCTGACAGAAACACGGCCAAGGATCGGACCCGTAGACCACGTCTGGCTGCCCGCCTGTCCAAGGGAGCACATCTCGGGGAAGTGCAAGGCCAAATTAAGTAATTTCATGTATCGCATCAGCATCTGACCGCATGTCAACCTGACCTCGAAGAAGAGGCAGCTGATTGAATGATGTGCACTTTTCTATGCGCTGCTGAAATCTATGTTCTGACTAACTCTTGCAGACACTGCCGAGACCGCCGTTGCATGATATGCACCACGCAGGGTCGCCCTAATAATGTCGACGCAGCGGCGGCAGGGCGGACGGCGGACTCCTCCAAATCTGTGCCGGCCCAGCAGCACTGGGAAGACGGCAGCGGTCCGAGAATGGAAGTGCTGTCGCAGGTCCTGGGCTTTTGCCGGACGACGCTGTTATCTGGCAGAAGACTGACTGAAGCTCATGCCCATCCAAGCAGCATCGACGTCGGGCGCCGACGCATACTAGCTCTTGCCGTCGGGATGCACATTGCGCCGTCCAGGTGCTCTGCCTCGTGCATCCTTCGCAGCAGAAAACCGTGAGCCAGCCGCCCGCTTGTGCCAGTTGCGTGTCTTGCATCAGAGCCGTCGGAGCAGGTCTGGCGCACGCAGCTCGAGCAGGCTGCCCTGACAGGAGAGCCTGCTCGAGCTGCCCGCTTGTGCCAGTTGTGTGTCTTGCATCAGGTACGTCGGCTGGACCTGCAAGAGAAAACCAACGCCGAAAACCAACGCCAGGTCCAGCAATGAGAAACTGGTAATTGCTGGATCTGCTCTCACCAACACCAGCAGTTGGATACTGTCATGTCATGGCTAATCACAGGCCAGCACGCCAGCATGGCCCACGGTTCCCAAGCAGCTCAACGAGAAGGCTCTATAGGCCACCGAGCATGTGTCAACCTGATCACGCCAGTGATCAGGTTGACACATGCTCGGTGGGTCTCTGTCTCTTGCTCAGACGTGCCAGGTGCCTGGTCGACCTGCAACTGAAACCCTCCAGCCGACTGCCCGCTTGTGCCAGTTGCGTGTGTTTCGCATCAGAGCCCTCCAGCAGCCGACCTGGCGGCCAAACACCATGGCTGCCACGGCCAGCACCACAAACGTAGCGAGCCAGCGGTCAGGTCTGCCAGATTCTGGCAGGGCTGACGGCTGGCTCGCAGTGATCGTGTCCTCGGGCATCTTACAAGAATCCAACTGCATTCCTGTATTAGATCGACTCCATTGCAAGAGTGGCTTTGGCATTTTCATGGCCATATACACGTGTCACTCCGAAGTTACCGCCACAAGATTCTGCTGCCTGCCAGTCTGAGAGCTGTTTCCTCCGTTGCAGTACTGGCTAGCGCCTTTTCTGGAATCTGGGCAAGAGATGAGATGTTTGATTGGGCTGATGGTTTTTTTCTCTGCTGACACGCTTGCGCAAGCCTGCCATCCATTCATTGCCGGACATTGACCCAAGGACCACACTGTAGCGAATCCCGACCCCAGAGTCGGGCGCTTCGCGAAGGAACCAGGCCGGAATCATGACACGTCTCTCCCTATGAGCACTGTCCTCTTAAATTCCACGACATCTGCTCAGCTTCTTGCCTTGAGCCAGCCACCAATTTGTGAGTTGGAACCGTAAGTTTGGCCATGTGTGTGTGTGCGGAAAACACACATTGCTTGGATCTGAGGCCCTAGCTTTTGCATCTGAGGCTCTTGATTTTGGCTTGATTCATACCGCTTAGCTTGACTGAGACCAAACGACGAGATGAAGTGAATCACTGATTTATCTCTTGAAGCTAGCTCAATTCATACCGCTTGAATGGCTGACTGAGACCCCAGGACGAGACGTAGCGAATCACTGATTCATTCATTCATTCATTCATTCAGCCTTGGTTCAATTAGACCAGCGGTCAAACGGTCATGTGATATGAAATAGCCCCGCGATCATAATAAGCCGCATGTGTTTTTGTAGGAAGTACCAGTTGCCGAAAATTAAAGTGATCAAGCAATAATGCATAATATAGTATTTTGGCGGTTTAAGGTTTTTGGTGCTTTGAGTTGTTGGGCTTTGGGGTTTCGGATTTAGGGGTCGGGTTTAGGCTTGAAGGTTTTTTGCGTTTTAGGTTTTTGGGCTTTAGGAGCTTTCGGGCTTTACAGTCAGGGTCGGGTTTATGCTTGAAGGTTTTCTGCATTTTAGGTTTATTGGGCTGTAGGATCTTTCGGGTTTTACGGTCAGGGGTCGGCATTAGGCTTCAAGGTGTTCTGCTTAGGATTTAAAGGATTTAACAAGGGCTCTGGTTTTAAGGTCAAGGGCCGGGTTCAGGCTTGAAGGTTTTCTGTTTTAGGTTTGAGGAGTCCAATCAAAGGGTTCGGGTTTTAGGGTCAGGGGTCGGGTTTAGGCTGGGAGGTTGAAATTCTGTTTTAGGTTTTGAGGAGTGGGGCTTTACAGGGCTACACCAGCCCCAACACACCCACCAACACCAACAGCAACAGCTACACCACCAGCACCACCAGCGAAACCAGCACCACCAGCACCAACACCACCAGCAAACACGACCACCACCACAGCAGCAGCAGCAGCTTTCAACAACAACAGCAAACATCATTCAGTACTGCCACAACAATAACCGAAATACAAAATACACCACAAACCCTAGGCCTTAAACCCTAAACTTCGTGCCCGAGCCCCGAGCCATTAAATCTTGTCATGTCAATCACCAAGCCCTAGAATCCCTAGAATCTAGAGCATTGAGAACAAGACCTACAACCTGGCCTTAAACTCATGTCCCGAAAACCTTATCCTAAAGCCCCAAAGTCAAAACTTACATACCACCCAAACCTATACAATTATACAAAGCCTTGAAGCCTAAACCCGAACCCTGAACCCGAAACCCTAAAACCCTAAAGCCCTAAACGGCCCTAAACACCAAGACTTTTAAGTCGCTAGCAACGGGAACTCGAAACTGTAAAGCCCTAAAGCCCTGCACGGCCCTAAACACCAAGACCTTGAGGTCGCTAAACACAAACAAGCACACCCCCAAACGTTAAAAAACTAAATCCATCACCATCATCCGGAAAGCGGAACTGCAGCAGCTGCCTTCATTTCGGAGCCGGCGAAGGACTGTGGTTTCGGGAGGGCCAGGAGAACTGAAGCTCAGCCACCAGCGACTAGACTTACTCTCATCTTGGAATAGTTGCAGCTTCTGTTCCCAGCAGCTGAGTTTTAAAAGCGTGCCCAAGCAAAAGCATCGTCTAGATTCGTATCAATCTAGATCAGAATCATCTAGACTCGATTCAGTCTAGATCAGTCGCATCACCTGCTGCTTCGCAAGCGACTTCGTGCGCTTCAAGAAGTAAAGCGGCTTTTTCGGGCTGATCTCCTGTCGCACACTCAACTGGGGTTTTGCATTAATGGTGGCCTGGGGTTTGTTCGTGCCCGGTCCTCTTCATCGGTGGAGTAAGACACCCGCCAGACAAGGCGAAGTGCCGAGGAGGAGGAGGTGAGTTCCTTGTTGGTGAAGTAGCTGGCCCCGGTCGTGAACTTGAACTGCTCGGCTTGCGTCTTCTTGACATACTTGAACACCAAAGGGAGCTGCTCCGGGTCGGGATGGATCTGGAATCGATCAGCGTCGGCTCCTCCTACAGAAGTTCTTTAGCCTCTAGGACCCAAGCCCCTGTAATTGAAGGAAGGAAGTATCTAAGCCCCTAAGGTGCAAACCCGTGAATTTCAACCGTATGCCCTATTCTATGTAGTTCCAAAGAAGTCAAGCGGGTCCTGCGCGTTCCATCTGGTGGGAGTTCACTGTCAAATCGACAACACCTTGCTGCTCCATTTCAAGCAGCAGCTGCCTGGGTTTGAGTTTCGGGCTTTAGGGCTCTGGGGTTTTGAGTTTAGGGCTGTATAGAGTTTTAGTTTGAGCTTATGAAAGGATTTGCTGTTTGGGGTTGTAAAGAGCGGTTAGAGTCTTGGGTCCTGGGTTTAAGGTTTGGGTTGTTATTTCGAGTAGAATCTCAGGACATACGAAACGACAGCAAGACAGCTAATGCATGATCAACCAGCAAAGCACCTCATCAACGATATCGGTGCATCCTTCAACCGTCTTGTGCCGGGCTCTGTGGTCTCCAGGACCACCGACTCATCATCCGACTTCCACTCGCACACGAGGTTGGTCGGCTCTTTCAGGGGGCCTGCGGGCAAGCCGTTTGGGTTTAGTCTTGAGGGTTGCCCCTTGGGTCTAGTGAGTCTAGTTAAAGATGTAGGCTTAAGGTTTGATTTTGGGTTCAGGATGATGATGCTGGGGATGTTGTGGTTCAAGCTCCATTGCCTTCGGCGACTCTGGGAGACAGAAGCTTTAAACTAGGAATTTCTAGTGTTATTCTGCCTAAAGGAGATTTGAGGTTTGTGACATACAACGATAATGTTTTCTCCTCGCAGCTCTGCCGGTTGAAACAGGGAGGTATGCACAGCAGCTCAACAGCTAGTGGTTTTCGAAGCGAGTGTAAAGCTGGTACCAATCAACAAGAGTATCGTCAGACTCCACAATGAAAGGTAGGCCAATCTTGATTGTCTTCATGGATGATAGGAATGACATCTCTTTGAAAATCTTGAAAGTTGCTCCTGCAAGGCTACATGCATCAGCAGAGGGGAGGAACGATAGCGACACTGTCATGATCCGTAGCCGAAGCAGGCTCACAATTGTTGCCGTGCAAGAGGGCATCCCAATAGACAGCTTCTTGAAGTGACTGCTCACCGTGGCCATTCTGTTTCTGTCTCTACACGGCACGAAGTCCACTACCAACAAGAAGATAAGCCAGTGCGACCTGAGTTTTTTGCACGATGCGAAGCCGATCCCCACAGCTTTGTCTTTGCGGCGCACTCTGTTGTGCAGTGCAATCTTAAATGAGTAGACCATAGCAGGCACAGCTTAGTGATGCCCACAAAAAGGACTTGTGCAGGATAGGCTCTAGGCCCACCTGCGCTTTTTGAGTTCGCTCAACGTCAACCCTTTCATGGCTTCCTTGCGAGCAGGGTGGTTCTTCCACCTAAGTATGAAGTTGTGATATGATGGTTGTTGCTTCGGAGCTATTGCTTGCATTACAGATATAACCTATTTCATACTTTCGGACTCTTGGGAATCTGAGCAACTAAGATGGGGACGCCTCGGCAGCTTCCTTCATCAACTCTTGGACCGGCTTGCCTGAGCCCTTATGCTTCTGCATGTACTCGGTGCGAAACTCGTTCCACGTGTTTCTCAAGGCACTCTCCTTTAGCGGCTTCTTCTCGACGTCACCCTGGTCTGAGCTCCGCTTCTTACCCGTCTTTTTGCTGCCACCGTCATCATCCTTGGTCTCGGTCTCGCCGTGGCTGCCGGCACTGGCAGCTTTTTCTTTCTTCTTGTTCTTCTTGTCACCATCATCCACCTTGGCATCCACCTTCGCATCCACCTTGGCCTTTGCCTTGCCCTTTGCCTTGGGCTTGGGCTGCGTGCCAGGCTGGATGAGGTTGGCGACCATGCTCGACAACGTCGGTGCCTCTGATTTTACCTTGGATTCGAAACGATTCAAGATTGTACGGTGGTGGTGGTTTGAGACTTGGAGGGTCTAAGGTTCTGGTAGTGTTAGGTTTTGGGTATTGTAGTATCCCGGAATTAATGCTTTTGGGGTTGTCGGCTGCTCAGCTTTACGAGTCTTTGTGTTATTGATAATTACGGGTCCATAAGACCATATTAGTATTAGGATATTGTGGTTCTCGCGGCTTAGGGTTTTCAGGGTCCAGCGGTTACGATGTATGATGTTTGTTTTAGGGGTCTTAGGCACTCTGTGGAATCAGAGTTTGGAGGGTTTAGGATTTAAGGTTTATAGCCAACAGAGATCTTTAAGTTTAGGCTTGTTATTGCTTTCCGTGATTGAGCTGGGGGTTCAGTGATTGTTTCAAGGGTGATAATAATCTCTGCGGATTCATACTTGCAACATAGCATCATCGCTGAGCTCCGGCTTTTTATCGGGGGCATGATCACCTTTGGGGGCCGTTGCGGTGTTCTCATCCTCATGGGCGTTCTTATCCTCGGGCTTCTCCTGCTTGGGCTTCTTCTTCTTGTCAGACAGATGCATGGCCTTCTGCAGCATGTCACTCACCTCTTCGGCTTCCTGCATCAGAGCTTCTTGGGATGCTGTCTCCTCGGGTTCTCCCAAGGAGTCATCTCCCGGTGACTGCAAGAGAGGCTTCTTCTTGCAAGCCGGAGTGGATGCAATCGAAGAAGCGGTGTCCTTGCGGCGGAACTGGAGCCACTTGTTCCCAAGCTTTTTCGGGGTCACCACAAGCGATGCCTTTGCCTCCTGCTTGGCGTCGGCCTTCGGTGCGGCAGTCTCCTGCTTGGCGTCGGCCTTCGGCGTGGCGGCCTCCGGCTTGGTGTCGGCCTTCGGTGCGGTGGCCTTCGGTGAGGGGTTTGTCTGCGGAAGGCCGTGGGGACCTGCAGCCGGCATGCTGGATGAAGCCGACATAAGAAAATCCATGAGGTCTTCGCGAGAGTCCATGATATCGGAGCGAGCCAAGTAGGCCCACGATGCTAAAGTGAAACCGTTTGGAAGCCTTGAGCCAACCTATCACAATCCTCTACTTGACGTTCAGAGCACAGGCTGCTACTGCATTGTATCCCAGGATTTAACCCTCCAGCCTCCGGATTCCAGCATCTTTTGCACCTTTTGTCCAGCTACAAAGCTGGCCCGATCGTGGGCGAGCTGAAACTCGTGATCCGGGATGGTCACATCGGAGTTTGCAACCTGGGTGCTGGGATGAAGCGGGTTTTTTTAATCAGAACACAATACTCCTACGTAAAACGACGGGGGGCCAAGAACAACTTCTTCTCGATGACCACACCCTCTTGCTCCACCTGGCCCTTCTCCTGGACCAACTTGAGCAGTGTCGTAGGGTTGCGACCCGGGCACGACATCAAAGTGTCGTACTTTGCATCGAGTTCCGTCAATGTTCCCGGCTCCGAGGACCATCCTTCAACTTCTGCCGAGCTGCCGGGAGCTGGCTGCTCAGCTGCTGTTGCTTCGGTCGAGCCGGAGGTGGTTGTGTGCGCCCTAATTTCCCGATGAAGGGCTTAGGTTTAGTTTTAGTGGGGTGTTGGTATTCAGTTCTAACAAAACAAAGGGTTTACAGTTGGGGTTTCGGACTAGCACTCACGATTTTTTCGGCTAGTCGCGACTGATCGAACTTGGCCAAAGTGTCCAACCACTCCTGGATGGGGTTTCAGGTTTCGGGCTTGGGGCTCGGGGTTTAGGGTTTAGGGCCTTTTGGTTTGGGTTTAGGGTTCTAACACGTTGGTCCTTCTTGCGGTGGGGATCATCACTCCACTTGCTGCGTAGCGACCCTGGCAGCGAGAGAGCCTTGCCACCGTTCTCCCCGGTCATCATGCTTGCGTAATGGAACGTAGGCTCCACTGCCGAGCCCCCGCTTGAATCTGGGACGAATGGCTCTGGATCATAGGCAGCAGCTCCCACGAGGTTCCGGCCGCTCTTCCAATCCTTGAGGGGCCACGGTTTAGGTTTAGGGTTCAGGGTTTAGGCTATCGTTGCATTGGATTCAGGTTCGTACCTCCAGGAGGTACTGGGCCACCATTCGCTCGCTGTACTTTACCACCGTCACATCTTCCCCGAGGGAGAACGTAGGCATCCTTGGTTTTGATCCAGAGAATCAGGTTTAGGGATACAGCTGGGCTATAGGGTACAAGGATAAATTAGAAGCTTTTGTTTATTCCAATCAGAAAAGTTTCCTGGGTCCATTCCGCAGAGGGGATTGCAAGCAGGCCTTCTCGAAGGCCCCATCATAAGGAGTCAGATTGACACAACAGACCCGGCTGGTGGCTGTGATGCCCGCTGCATCCTGCAATGTATTCGCTCTAGAATTCGTTTAGCCCACATTAAAACTTCGTTCGACCTAATCAGCAGAACTGTCGTCATCATTATCCAAATCGAAACAACGAGATTGTCCTTCAGCAGAGAAGTCAAGACAGTGGCCGGCATGTGGGTACCGCCCAGGCGTTGCGCTGCCTCCTGGACCTCGCTGAAAGACCTGATTCCCAGGCAGCGTGGGGTTTGGGGGTTCGAAACCTCTTAAACCCAAAACCCTTGGTGCCTGTCTAGATCCTCCCTCGTGGATGGGGTGGCATTCTTTGCCCGCGTGGGACACTTGTAGTCCCGTTCGGAGATCCACTCGATGGGCTCTCGGTTGCACCTTAGGGCTTAGGGCTTGGGGTAAGACTTTGGCTTCTAACTTAGGGCTTAAGGTCTAGGTGGGTTTGGGTTCTAGAAAACATTTGGGATGATTGCAATGATGGCACTTATCAATCACTAGCTTGCACTCAGCGAAGACGTGCTCGGAGACACCATCCGGCCAACAGACAAGGCCTGGGTAGAGGAGGGCCTGCTTCTTGTTGAAGTGAGGCTCGTCCATCCGGATGTTGATTACACTGTTGAACAAGAACTTAGCATCCAGTTTGTCTTCCAGTCGCCGGACCTTCATATTGGGTAGCGGACTTAATCAAGGTACCCTATAAACCTAAAACATCACACCCTTTAACATAAACCGCTGCATTGGATACTCTCGCACCGACAAGCCAAGTACATCCGTAACCCAAATGCCTTAAACCCGTAGCTTAAGCCCCTGTGGCCTCGCCGCGGATCCCGGCTGCCACCCGATCTGATGGAAGCACTGGCACTACGATCACTCCGATCATTTTCTGGGGGTTGTGCTGCAGAAGGTTGCGGATCGCTTCCGTAATGTTGTCAAAGTCATCTTTCTGTAGCCGGCCAAACTTGGTTAGGTCTGCCCAGATGATGGCCGCATCCGGTCGCAAGCTGTTCATCCACTTAGTGAGAGTCAGGGAGTGAAAGGGTGATTCGTTCAGCAGTTCAGCATGGATGACACAACTGATAAAGCCCCTCTCCAGCCTTCTTGATACCTTCGAGCACATCCGTGTCTTTGTAGAGGCCGTGCTCATGCTTGCTGTTCACATCCATGAACTCAATGACGAGGCTGCTGCCCCGCTTGTTCTCAGCTCGAAGATGACACACTTTTGCCATCTGTTTGGCCCGGCCACACTTCTGCAACTCTGCCAGGTGCGCAATGAAGGAGGCTAGGTCCAAACTGACCTTGTAGGTGTCGCTTTCGAACTGCTTCTGGATGCTCTCGTTGTCAAGCTTGGTCACCTCCTCCAATCCCTTCTTGATCAAGCTCTCTGCGGAAGCAGTCCCAAGGTGGTCCGACCACAGGTTCAAGTCCTGAGGCTTGATGTCCGGAAGCTTGAGAAGGCAGAACTTATCGGCCTCCGAATTGTAATCCCTGAGGAATTGCAAAGGATCTTTTGATCACGACGACATATCACTAAGCTCTCTAATGCAAACGAAACACCCCTCCAACACCTTCTGCGTAGCAGCTCTCATGCTGTCGCCCGAAAACAACACATCTGCGCCGTCGTCCGTTCTGGCCTTGGCCATAGCCTCCAATGCCCACATCATCAGGCAACTGGAGTCCACCAAAGCCTCCCAAGCCTCTGGCGACAGTCTCGCGGTTGTCGCCGTCCGGACCTGCTTCCTTTTGATCTGAAAGGCAAAATGGAGTCGCTGAATGAAGAAGGTCTGCTTCGGGCGAGTGACAGCCATGATATCCTTCCAAATGCCATCGGCTTGCGAGTACTTGCCGGTGCTGCCAAGGTGCCACCGTGGGTTCTTGACATTCTCCAAAGTGTAAGCACACTCACTCCAAATGTGTGTTTGGAGATGTCTCGACATGAGCGTGCGAACCTCTTCACCGACACTCTCGATGAGAACCTTGATGGAATGACCAAACCAGAGAATCTTTCCGAATCATCGGTATGATAGTAATAGTAGTAAGTACCAGTAGTAGCAGTAAGCAGTAGAAATAGAAGTGGAGAGTCTGTAGTCGTAGTAGTATTATTAGTCCTAGTACTAGTGCTGGTGCTAGTGCTACCAGTAGTAGTAGTAGTAGTAGTAGTAGTAGTAGTAGTAGTAGTAGTAGTAGTAGTAGTAGTAGTAGTAGTAGTAGTAGTAGTAGTAGTAGTAGTGGTAGTGGTAGTGGTAGTGGTAGTGGTAGTGGTAGTGGTAGTGGTAGTGGTAGTGGTAGTGGTAGGGGTAGTGGTAGTGGTAGTGGTAGTGGTAGTGGTAGTAGTAGTAGTAGTAGTAGTAGTAGTAGTAGTAGTAGTAGTAGTAGTAGTAGTATTAGTAGCAGTAGTAGTAGTAGTAGTAGTAGCAGTAGTAGTAGATAGTAGTTGTTGTTGTAGCAGCTGTTGGTGATACCATTTGTCGTCGTAGTAGCAGCAGCGGCAGCAGTAATTTTTTCGTCGTCGTAACCGAAGCTCCACACGAAAGCCCCAACCCCAGCTCGCTCAAGTCCCCCCGGCAAAGTTTAAGCTAGGCTACTTTCATGGCCGTGCAGTCCTTCTCAGGCAGCTTGTAGTTCTCGGATGACTCTGCCAGCCCGAAGCAATTATACTCGCGGAAGGCCACGTCCATTGCCTCGGACTTCTCCTTGTAAAGCTCGGGGTGATCCTGGGCGTGGCTGTGGCTCAGCGATTGGTTTGGACTCGGGTTTGATTTTCGGGAATTTATTGGAGCTCCTAAGGTAACATATAAATTTGGCGGGCTGTGCAGCTCTGTATCATTCATAATTTCAGAAGCTCGCTGGTGGAATCTCAGGGCCATCTGCAGAATGTTCTTCTTCTGGCGCTCTGCAGCCTGCTGGCTGAGCTGCATGTTCCGGTAGGAGTACTCATGCAGCTGCCGTTGGGTGTAGATGACTTTGAGTCTCATCACTGAGTCCAGCCACCTGTGGGTTCATCTAGGACTACGTGCTGCTGACTACTGACTTAAATCTATTCTCTGCTCAGGCTGGGGTTTTGGGAGAGAACTGATCTGAGATTTTAACTCAACTGGGGTCATCATGGGTCTGGTTTAATATTTCAGAAGGACGATTCTTAGCAAGGCCGTTGGGTTATTATGCGGTCTGCGGTGTAAGGCTTCGGATTTAGGGTGAAAGAGTAATGAAAGGGAAAGAGAATCATAGAGTAAGTGTAACTGTAGTAGTCGGAAAATAAATAATTAATAATAGTTTTGGGCCTGTTCTCTTTTGGGTGTTCATGAAGGCTCCGGGTTGGGGGCTCGGGGGCCGGGGCTGGGGGCTGGGGGCTGGCTGGGTCGGGGGGGCTGGGGGGGCTGGGTGGGGGGGGTCTGGGGCTGGGGGCTGGGGGGGGGGCTTGGGCTGGGGCGTGCCGCGCGGATTGGGGAGTCGACGGGGTTCCGGTCGCGCGGATTGGGGAATCAAACCACATCGATGAAGCGATTGCCCCGGAAGCTTCCGGCATCGACGTGGTTTTGCCGAAACCACAGATACTGGCCTATTGAAACCACCGACCCAATCGATGATCCAATCGCTGCAGACCAAGCCCCGCGATAACCCTAGTCAAGTTGGTGCTCCCGGAACAATAGGGCAATCGACGTACTTTTGCCAAAACCAAGTCGATGAGCAACCCTTTCCAAAAGGTCTCGGCATCGATGGGGTTTGATTGGAAAATAGCAAAGTTTAAAGTTATAAACCCACAACGGTAACTAACAATAAGCCTCATCATTATGCATAATGATGTCAACAACACATCGTACGAGTATAGCAACAACAGCAAGGTGCATAGTCATTAATGTTAACAACACATCGTACGATGTAAGAACATAATAGTAAGAGCAGCAAGTCAGCAAGGTGCATAACTATTATATTAAATAATGTCAACGACACATCGTGCGATGTACGAATATAATATAGTAAGAACAGCAAGGAGCGTAACAGTTTAGAGAAAATAACGACAAGAAGTAGTAACAACAACCTAGCTCGTACCAAGAGAAGACTGCTTCGAGGTCTGCATACCTGCAAGTTTCCGTTCGACCGCTGCGACATTTATGGATTCTGCTTGGAGCCTCGGAATGATGTTAAGCTTGAACTGGGTGTGTATACAATGATAGTCACTAAGAGTTAAACCTTTGGGATCGTTTGGGGGCAAGCTACGAAGATTCAATGCTAGCAGGAAGATCACGTGACTGCGAGATCATGGGTGCCTTGAGCCATTCGTACATTGTTCGGGTTTGTTTCGACCATCGTAGCTTATCGAGTGTCAAAGGGCCCACCTTGTGAAGTCCTCCCGCTCCTTCTGGCTGAAGGAAGCTTGATCTTCCACCATCAGCATGTGGCATATTGCGTATGCAATTATGCTACAACGTGTGTAGCCTCTGCAAACAGCAACCGAGAAGGGCTCCAAGCGGTCTCCCGGAACTAGGGGCTTGTGGGTGGTGGCTCTGATCTCAAGAGGCTCCCTCTCATTCTCCCAATTAGTCCAGATTGGCACACTGAACTTGCTCCATGTGATGAGTGGAGGGGCTTTGTCGACGGGGATTGGCATGTAGAGTGCAAACAGGGGAACATAGTCAGCCACGTCCTCTGCTGGGAAGTGGCTCTGGTCCACCAGGACCTGTTTGGCGGGTCTTATTGCTACTTGTTACTGCTGCTGCTGCTGCTGCTGCGGCCACTGCTATATTGCACATCAAAGGTGTTACTAATAGCCTACAGCTATCGTTACAGCTGCTCTGTTGCTGCCACTGCTGCTGCTACTACTGCTGCTGCTGCTGCTATTACTGCTACTGCTACTGCGACTACTACTACTACTACTACTACTACTACTACTACTACTACTACTACTCCTGCTGCTGCTGCTGCTACTGCTGCTGCTGCTGCTACTGCTGCTGCTGCTGCTGCTGCACTGCTACTTCTTATTCTTCTGCTACCGACCACGACCGCGACCACGAGCAGCTACTGCTGAAGGTCTTGGGGTTTTAGGGCTTAGGGTTTTAGGGTTTCGAGGGTTGAGGACTTTAGGGGTTTAGTGTCTTTGGAATTTAGGGCTTCGGGGTTTAGGGCTTTGGGGTCTTTGGGATTGTGTCCTGGTCCAAAGCTTATCGAGAATAAAGCTATTACGATCCTTTACAAATACCCCACTCCAAACCGTGCTCCTTGTTACTGAGCCAGGACACCCTGCACCCTAAACCCCAAATCGTAACCCGTCCCCCGAGCCCACCTAAATCCTAGGGTCTTAAGCCCTCGAAGTCCTAAAACCCTAAAGTAGCCTAATCCCTGAAACCGTAAACCCTTCAACCCAAGAATCGCAAGACACTAAGCCCAAAACTCCCGAAACCCCATGTTACAATGCTCTGCCTCTGTTCCTCCATTGGCTGCAAGGAAGTGATTCACCATAGTGATGATTGACCCGTCAGCCTTCGGCCCGAAGTACTGTTCCACCAAAGCACACGGATGCTGATCAGCTTCGACATTGTAGCCCCTTAGCTGAGCTCTCCAAACCCAGTATTTTGTTCAGAGCACAGTCTAAAGTCTGTAATGCAGGAAAGAATCTCCAGAGCTTTGACAACTCGGGAGACCCAATTCTCTCCATCCCCCTTGGCCTTCTTGCCGGCAGGGCCGGCAGCACGAGCAGCTCGTTTGCCCATCGATCAGAGGTGGGGTCTCTAAACTCGGCCCTGAAAGAAACCGCTTCTTCAAGCTGAGCAGAATCAGCTGTGCATCCGCTATGTGAGAGTGCGGGAGTCACAGAGAGAGAGAGAGAGAGAGAGAGAAGGGAAGGGAAGGAGCATGTTGGTCACTCCGTTTCTTTTGCTGCTCCAATCAACGAAAGCTGATGTCAGAGCTCAGTCACAGTGCATTTGCCGGCACATTTCGGGGCCCAGCTTCTGAAAAGGGAGCTCGCCGATCTTTGGAGATTCATCGGGGGGCAGGGCAGCATTATACTAGTATGATTTGCGAAAGGACAACGACCCCACTCAGCTTTGATTATTGCCCTCCCAGAACCACAGCTATTTCTTCAGGTATTCTTTTAATGGGTGCAGCTACAAAGTCCTCGCAGGAAAGAGTCGAGTTCTCAAAAAGCAGCTGGTAAACTTTAGGGACTTTAGGATTTAAGGTTTCGGGCTTCGGTTTCTGGCCACAACCCTCTTCTAAGCATGCTCGGGAACGGCTTCAATGAACAGGGCGCATATCAAAATAATCGCCCCAGCCTGTGCTACGTGCATCCCGTTCCCGGCCAGGCAGCTGGCCAACGATGCCGTGGGCAAGGGACTCAAGTCCACACTCGAAGATCCAGCTGTCTCTGCCTGGGATGATGGGTTGAGTTGAGGGCTCC